TTTCACAGCACCTGGTTCTTTGAAAAGCAGAACCCAAGCCATACCTACAATGTTGGCACACCGCCAAGAAAGTCCTTTTGTGTGTGTGTGTGTGTGTGTGTGTGTGTGTGTGTGTGGTGAATCACTCATAGTCTCTAAGATCTATCAAAATAGCCTTGTTTGAAAACCTTGTTTTCCCTATTTTTTTCTTCTTCAGATGACTCACGCTTAAGTGCTTCATGTCTAGATTCTCTTTTCTTTCTTGTTTCTCATCGTGTTCATTCAGAAGACGCTCTTTCACTAGTTCCAAAATTTGTATTTCTATATTCTGTCAGTTTTCATCTTGAAACATACACACAGCAATATGCTCTGAATCATAAAATTCTGCATTAAAACCCAACACTTAAGAAAACCCCACATATTCTCAATACAGGTTTACCTGCACTTCTGTTCCCATTTTTATTTATGACAACTTTATTAACATTTTAAACTCATTGCTGCTTGAAACTTTATTTCATCTGTTAGGAAGATTTTGGCTGCAAGAAACATGAAAATCAATGCTAAGAGGCTTAAGCAATAAAGACACTTAACGCTTCACGGAGGAATCTGGAAAGTATGGAGGCTTCAATGTCAGTTGAATGAGTGATTCAATGAAGATCTCAACAACTCAGATTCTTCCTGTCTTCCTCCTCAGCCATTCTTTTCTTTTAAGTCAGTTTCACTGTGGCATAGTTTACATGTAATCAAATTTATAAATCCTAAGTGTACAATTAGGTAAGTTTTTACAAATGTATACTTATGGAGTCACACTACAGTCAAGAAATTAATAATTTCTGTCATTCCCAAAAGTTCCACCAGCCCCTTTGCCATCCATCCACCCCTTCAAACGAGTCCCTGGGAATTTCAGTGGAATTATACAATACGTCCTCTTTTGTGTCTTCTTTCCTTTCTATAACATCACACTTTGGGGATCTATTCAGGTTGTTGCTTGTATCAGTAGTTTATTCCTTTGTATTGCTGAGTGATATTCCACTTTTTATTGCTGAGTGATTATCTGTTTACTACTTGATGGGAATTTGAGCTGTTTTCAATTTTTGGCTATCACCTAAGAAGCTGCTATAAATCTCTAAGATAAGTTTTCATGTAGATACAGGTTTACATTTCTCTTGGGGAAGCACCCAGGAACATGAAGGCTGGGTCATATGCTAATTTTACATTTGATATTATAAGAAACTGATAAATTGTTCTCCAAAGTGAATTTAACACTTTGGAGCCCCACAAGCGAAGAGAGTTCTTCTTATTCCATATTCTTACCAAAATTTGGTATCTTAACAGGGCTTTTGAAGAGCAAACATTTTTAATTTTGATGAAGTTAATTTAGGAACTTCTTCTTTTAGGCTTTCAGCTTTTGGGGTATATTCTAATTACAAAAAGTTAAAAGATCACAAAGATTTATAAAATCTAAGAGCATAAAGGGTTTCTCCCAGGTTTTCTTCCAAAATTTTATAGTTTTAGCTCTTGCATTTAAATTGAGGTCTATGATCAATTTCAAGTCAAGTTTTAAATGAGGTGTGAGTTAAGGGTTGATTTTTTTTTCTTTTATTCTTCCTTTCTTTTTTTGGATATGTGAATAAGTATTCTAACCTCATTTGTTGGACATTCTGCCATTTCTGGTGTATTAGATTTGTAATTTGTACCCTCATGGTCATAAAATGACTGCAGAAATTTTAGGCATCACATCCAGAATGATATCCAGAAGAGAACATCTCTTTATAAAGTGTCCAGAAAACTTTTCTTTGCCTCTACCTATACTTCACGCATACATACATACACCCAAACCAATCACTGGGAAGGGAATGGTACCATGATGATTCATGTATTCATTTAATAAGGGAATGATGTGTTTTCTCTATTTGCATCATAGGGACTGGGAATACAGTAGTGATTTTCAAACTTCAGAAATGTTGCCTGTTCTCATGGAACATACAATTTGCTAAGGAAGACTATTTGTCTATTTTCTAAATAAATAAGTTACCTGTATAATATGTTGTTGTACAATGCTAAGTATTAGGAAGAAGAACGAAAGGGGGTCATAAAATATTGTGGGTAGGTTAGAATTTGAGATTGGGTGGTTAAAAAAGATCTCCCCAAGTTGACTTTTGAATAAAGACCTGAAGAAAGTGATAAAGTAGTGATAGAGTAGTCCCCACAGATACAGACTGAATCTGTATCCATACAGATACAGATTGAAGAATGGTCCAGGCCATTCTTTGCACATTCCAGTGCAAAAGTCCCAAGAACAGCACGGAGACCACGGTGGTTGGAGGGAGTAGTAGGAAATGGGGGGAGGTACAGAACATGTTGATCATTACAGATAAGTCATTCTCAACCAGGAACAACTCTGACATTTATAAAATTTGGTAATGGTTGATTTTGGCCATCATAACTGGGTGTGGTGGGACTGCTGGGGAGGCCAGATAGATGCTAAATCTCCTGCAATGCTAAATATCGTACGGGAGGTAGACCACCTCTGGCCCCTCCTCCCCCTCTCGATAAAAGGTCATCTGGCTCAAATGTCAATATGGCCAAGGTTAAAAAACACCATTTTAAGTCATAGTAAGGATTGGCTTTTACTGAATGACTCAAAATGACACTAAAGTGTTTTCAATAGAAGAATGATCTAATTTAAGCTCCTAAAAAGATCATTTAGCTGTTTTCTATGAATAGACTGAAGGCCTAGAAGGGTAGAAAATAAGACAGCATTTAGGAGGGTACTATAATTACCCAGGAAAGCCATGATGGTTATTGGACCAGGATGGTGGCCGTAGGGATGGGGAGGATGGATGGATTCTATATATATTTTGAAGGTTTGAAAGCTAATAGATTTTACCAACTACCCCAGACTAAATGTTTGTGTGCCTCCAACATTTCTATCTTGAAATCCCCAATGTCATAGTGAGGAGATGGGACCTTCGGAGTTGATTAGGTAATAACATTTCCAGCCTTCAGAAGTGTGAAAAATAAATCTCTGTTGTTTTTGAGCCACCTAGTCTATGGTATTTTGTTACAGTGGCCTGAATAAAGACACAAATGTACTCCATATATAGGTATGAAGACCAGAGCCATGTATGACCCCCCAGGAGTAATCTGTTGTAATTGGTGCTGGAGCTGTATCTTCCTAAAGAAATTAACCTGGGGAAGTTGGTAGAAACCTGAACAAATTTGGAATGGGAGAAAGAATGTCCATATGGATGTTTGGCTAGGCAACCAATAGCATCTGTCACATATACATTTTACGGAAATAAGAATGGACACTGTTGGATTAGTGAGTCACTACCTTAAATGATGCAATTATTCTACACATAGACTACTGAACTTCTTTAAAAAGGCTTTTATTTATTTGTTTAAAGATTTTATTTATTTATTTGAGAGAGAGAATGAGTGAGCAAGCAAGAGAAGAGAGAGAGCGCATGCGAACGCAGATGAGTCAGGGGAGGGGGGCAGAAGAAGAGGCTCCCTGCTGTGCAGGGATATTTTTCCCCACTCCGGACTCCATCCTGGGGATCAGGATCTGAACAGAAGGCAGCCGCCTAGTCTACAGAGCCACCGGAGTGCCCCTAAAAAGGCTTTTATATCCACAGCACCAAGTGCTTTAGAAATGTTTTCTCATGCCATCTTTCATTTAGTGACAGATGTAGGAAGTCCTAAAACCTTATTCCATCAAACTCATTAAAGGACTTTGATTTTCCTTTCAGTTTGCATTCCAAGTATTTACTGTCTTCCTACATAGGATGTTGATATATTTAATTATTGCTTTTGGAACATTTGTTTTGTCTAGCTGAAAATATTAGAAGCTCACTATGAGTCTTTATTACGTGTTAGAAAACCACTTAATAAATTTCTCTCACGTATCATCGTAATGTTTTAACTAATAACCTGCTGTTTTAAGTAATAACCTCCCTTTGACCAAATTCTAATCAGGCTTCCCAGAACTCTTTTTCAGCGAGGGATGGCTATTGACGTCCATGTCCTCTCCACATTGTCAAGTTTCAGTAAGAATCCTGTTAAGTCAGTTTAGCCCAAATCTCCTGACTAATCACAGCCCTCTGTATCTAATGGAGTTCCTCATCCTTCACCATCCCCCAGGTGAATTCTGATCACCTGGCCCTGACTTCAGCAAGATTTCTGTTAACTCAGTTTAGCCAGAATACTCCCCATATCTCTGACATATCTTCTTAATAATTTTCCATCCATGGACCCCCACCCCTTGGCTATAAAGTCCCACTTTTCTTTGCTGTCTTTGGCACTGAATGCAGATTTCTCCTACTGCAACAGTTTGGAATAAAGTTTTCTTTACCATTTTAACGAGTGTTGCTATAAATTTTTTCCTCTAACCTACCTTATAACCTAAGTAACTGCGGTTATTTCCAGTTCACAAGCAAATGGAAGTTTTGTGAAATAATTACGTTTAGTCAAGATTATCCAACCAGTAAATAGGTCTTGAGCCAGTATGTATCTGAGAACTGAACAAGGAGTCCCCAGGCCTCCCAGCTGACACCAGGCTTCTTGCCCCCCGGAGGGCCTGACTAGTGTGACTAGTTGCGGGTTAAGTGCTCAGTAAAGACTCGCCCACTGATTTGGAAACTTTGGGGACTGGGAGAGTGCGGGAGACCACAAATTCCTCCTGCACAAATGCATGGAAGTGGTCTGGTGGCTCCTTGTCCAGACTCTGGAGGGCCAGGGTGTGTGTGCGGCAATCACACAGCCCCCTTTCCCTATTGAGACCCCGCTCGCTCTTCCCCTGGGCGTCTCGGGCGCGCGGGCAAGGCCGCCGTGCGGTCCCGCCGAAGCTTCGCGGGCCTTAGGCCTGCGTCTCCGGCCGGAGCCTGACGCAGGCGGCGCGGGTGCGGGGACGTCAGCCTGGGTCCTTCCGAGGGCCGGCTCGGGCGGGGCCCGCCTCCCCGCGGGATTGGAGGCCCGCGGCCCCGCCCGGCTCCCAAAGCCCGCGGGAGACGCCTTGCGCTGCCTGGCGGCGGGGGAATCCCGGGGCCGGTCCTGGGCGTCGGGCCGAGCGGCCCTTCTGCGCCCCGCTCTCCGCCTGCCACGCCGCGCCGCGGGAGGAGCTGCCGTCGGAGTGAGCGCCGGAGCCTCCCAGCCGAGGCAGGCCCGGCTTAGGCGGTTGGTCGCGCACTTTTTCCTAACTCGGAGCGAGAAGCGGCGCGCTCTCCAACTCGCGTTCGCCCCGGAGCGCTGGCGGGAGGTGTTAGGCGCGGGAGGGGGTCGGGTTCCGCGTCCCGCCGGTGCAGGGAGAGCCGGGGGCGGGAAGGTAGTGCAGACGCCGGCGGGCTTCGCGGCGGTTCGGGCCGGGGCCGCCGAGAGGTGAGTCGGGGACAGGCGGGTGGTGGGCCGCACTGTGCCCCCGGCCCGTGCCATGGCCCGCCCGAGCCCGGGCCTGGCACGTGTTCAGGCCTCTGGACACCGGTTTGTCCCCGGCAACTCGTGTTGAGCGATTTGCATCGTAGCCCTGGGAGGAACCCCAAAGCAGAGGGCACCCTGCTGGGGCCGGCCTGGGGAGGAGGCCGCCGCTTGCCCCTGGGAACCCCGCCCAGGATGTGCAGTTTCAGCTCTCAAGTTCTGATGCCACGGACTTCCCTCTGAAACTGTGTTTATGCCCTGCTGCAGAGTTGTTCTTTGAAGACTTCGGGTTTTAAGTCCGCAGATACGTTTTGGACACCAGTACGTATAAAGTATTGGCCAAGGGGAACCACCAGAAAACTACTTGAGGCGTAGTTCACCGAGTAAATTCCCTGCTTCCCTTGTGGCTGTGTTAGGAGGGCAGGTGACTATGGTTAAAGGTTTCTGCTGCGTTCGTTTGCTCTGAAACACTGATGCTAAGTAAAAGAGAGCAGGACATTGGATTAAAGTCAGTGAAAGAGGGAAGCCTTATTAAAAGGAACAGAAACTTTCTCGTTCAGAAAATGGAAAAAATTATACAGCGAAAACTTTACATTAACTTTCAAAGCACTCACCAGTTAATTTTTTTTTTTTTCATACTTAGAGGATTGTAATTACCTTCACATGTAGATTAGTTTCAGGAAGATATGCTGCATGTGTGTGTGTTTCCCTATGCAATTTTCTCTTCCAACTAAAAGTCTTTCATTGTGAAATCCACAAACCTTGTGCACATGTAATTGATTCATCTCTAAAGCGGGGCAGTTTTCAGTTTGGTGAGGGTGGGGAAGAAACAGGGTATAGAGAAACAGAAAGACAGGATCTAAAGAAACAGAGACTAGTGTGCTAACCCTGAAACTGCCCTGTGGCCTTGTGTTCTGAGAAGTTATGTATCCATGAAAATTCCGGGCTTACTTAACAAATATTTCCTGGGTAGCTGCTCTTTGTCCATGATGTGACCCGCTGGCTTGGTGATACTTTTTGCTGTTGTCCATGTTTTCCTAATGCAAAACTGTATTCTCTCCTAGTGACCAAAGACCTCATCTTTGATGCTTAACAATTCTCAAAGAAAGGAGTATTTGCATATATATGAAATTTATTTTCTCTTTGTCATTGGGAATTGTAAACTCATCTCTTAGGATATATTCTGCACTCTTAGTGGGTATTATAGACTCCCCTAAATGAATTTTGGACACGTTAAGTGAAGTTCACAAGATTTGTTTGTTTTTTAATATCAGTCTTTCTTGGATTTCAGCGTTGTAACGTATGTGAGATTCCGATTTGAATATAGTGTGTGGGCTTTCCCAAGTCCAGTGGATCTCATAACCCTAGTTTGTAGGAACCTGGGAAAGTGCCCTGTGGAACACATTTTGAGAAATGTATTTTAATTGGAATTTTTGTTGTTTTTATTTTTAATTACTTATCTCAACTTTTCTGTCAACAGAAGTGATGCCACCAAGAAGAAATGAGAAATACAGACTTCCTGTTCCACTTCCAGAAGGCAAGGTTCTGGATGATATGGAAGGAAAACAATGGATGCTGGGCAAAATGATTGGCTCTGGAGGATTTGGATTGATATATTTAGGTAAAGTATAAGTTACCAAATATTCTTGTATATGTGACTGCAACTGTGATCATTTAGTATTTTGACAATTGAAACTTTGAATTACAATAGAATTCATAAATGTACTTTATTAAGTAAATGAGGATCATTAAAGTTTACCAGAATGTCTGGTTTAAGCCATGATTGACCCCACTCCTTGCTGTGCATGACTTCTGGAAGTCCTTCCAGAACCTAGTTAAACAAAGTCCACCAGACAAATACTAGTATTGTTTTTGAGTGTGTCTTTTCCTGGAAACATTGCTTTTTATAGCTCAGAAACCACACTTTACAAATCCAGACACTTTGTGAATCTTTATCATTAATATTTAAGTAATAGAGGGTTGTGGTCATTTCTTAACTAGGCTTCACTAGAGAATTGAGTCTTAATACCTAAAGGCATCTGTTGTATGGAATGAAAGAACTCGCCTGTGTGTCTAGATGGTACTAGTTATTTGCTGTCCTTCATAAATGAGAAAATAGACACAAAAACAAAAAATTATTTTTTGTGTTCTTAGGTAAAGGTAAGGAATTCTAGTAAAATATATTTTTACACTACATTTAAAAAGGTTTAAATTACACTGAATTTAAAAGGATCGTTCAGGGCTACCTTACAACTGTAGTTTAATGATCAGAACTATCCATTACATGACTGGATTTAATGAATAAAATAAGATAAATATTAGTGATTTAAAAAAAAAAAAATTACCCTCAAGGATAAATTCTCCTAAATGGATTGACTCATTACATCTGTTCTTGTAGGAGTTTAAGAAGCTGGTAAAAGACCTCCACTGGGGGAATCTTGGATTCCTCCCTCATTAAACATTTCAGACAGTAGGGAAGGAAAGACTTTCCCTCTACTCTTCCAACGTTCGAGAGCTGGATTTATAAAATTAACAGCAGGAGAAAAGCTACATGAAATTACTAATTGATGTTATATGCATGGGGATATCACAGAGAAAAAAAAGTGAATACCCCAAAAAGCAGTGAGATATGAGAACTTATATACTGTCTTAATAGGGGAAAGGGACAGGGGATGGAGGTCACTTTAAGGACAGTAGATGATCTTTAGGAAACATGAATGGGCCTTTAGGAGAATAGGTGGGGGATTTGATCATTTGTGACAAAGCTTGTCTGGGAATGGTGTTAATTTCTAATCTCTTGTGATGAGAGTAGTTTCTTCTGCTTGATGAAACTTCCCTGGAGGGAACTTAGAACAATTGAGTCTTTTTTGGAGGATCTGTCTTCATGTAAATAAAGGGAGTTCAGAGAAAGCCTTTCCCTGTATTTCTTCCTCCTTGCACCCTCAGCCCCAAATAATCCTTATACTGAAGAGGCATAGTTTAGAATGGCGTATTTCACCACAGTTCACAGACATGTTTCATGGATCATGATGGATAAAGCTCCTTTTTCGATATAATTGGTCATTTTTAAAAAAAGATTTTATTTATTTACCTGAGAGAGAGAAAGAGCAAAAGAGCATAACAGGGGAGAGGGTCGGAGGGAGAAGCCGACTCCTTGATGAGCAGGGAACCCGATGTGGGACTTTTCCAGGACTCCAGGATCATGACCCGAGCCGAAGGCAGTTGCTTAACCAACTGAGCCACCCAGGTGACCCGTAATTGTCATTTTGAACAAATGAATGAAATTCAGTAAAAAGAGAACTCCTTATTAATCATCTCAGGGTCTAATCAAGTTGGGAAGATGAGACCAACACACACAAAATTGTATGGCTTAGAGAAAAGTTTCCTCCTCGAACGAGTCTGAACTTGCTTGAAAATTGCTGTGATTCTGAGTAGTAGGTTGAGAGTGCCATAAGCAGCACTGTTCAGGAGAAAGGTTATGCAACCCACTTATGTAATTTAAAATTTTCTAAGAGAAACATTAAAAAAGAAAAAGGATGAAATTTATTTCAATTATATATATTATTTAATCTGATATATCTAAAATATTATTCCAATATGTTATCAATATTAAAAAAAAAAGAAATTATTTTAGTTACAGTCTTTAAAATCCAGGATTTACCCAGTCACATTTCAAGAGCTCAATGGCTACATAGAACTAGTGGCTACCATGTTAGATGGTACAGGTAAAGACCATAAAAGTATATGTGGAGTCCACAGAGAGTAGATTTCCCCATAGAATAAGTGTGGACTGAGACTTTAAATTAGAGAGTTCTCTTGAATAGCAAAGAGCTAAGATCTCTAGTATACTGTCTTGACTCAAAGTCAGAGATAGGAAGTTGAATAAATTTTTGTTGTCACTGAGCTATATAGCCTTGGAGCCCAAGGCTTATCAGTTATACTTTTAGATTTCTAATTGAATTATTTGAGTAATTTCAAAGAAATACAGAAAAGCATAGATTGTAATTCCTTTTTTTAAAAATGGAAATACATAAAATGTTAATATGTATTTAAATTTAAGTGTATTTTAAAAAAGTATAGGCCTATACACATATTCGTACATTCACTACTTGTGTGGTTCCTGTTGTGAAAAAGAAATGTGCTCATGGGGTGCCTGGGTGGCTCAGTGGGTTAAGCCTCTGCCTTGGGCTCAGGTCATGATCTCAGGGTCCTGGGATCCATCCCCGCATCGGGCTCTCTGCTTAGCAGAGGCCTGCTTCCCCCTCTCTCTCTGCCTGCTTCTCTGCCTACTTGTGATCTCTCTCTGTCAAATAAATAAATAAAATCTTTAAAAAAGAAAAAAAAAAAGAAATGTGCTCAGGCATGTGATCTATTTGTCCCTATTTAAATATAAAAAAGTCTTTGCTGCTTTTAGTCTAAGTATATGTCATGTATCATTTACTTATTTTTTCTTACTACCAAAATAATATTTGTTTTACAACAATGTTGATTTTTAAATTTATGTATTTGTTTTAGAGAGGAGAGAGAGAGAGGGAGAGAGAGCATGAACCAGAGGGGAAGAGAGAATGGGAGAGAGAATCTTAAGCAGACTCCACGCTGAGCATGGAGCTCAACACCGGACTAGATCTCATGACCCTGAGATGATGACCTGAGCCAAAACTCAGAGTCCTATGCTTAACTGACTGTGCCACCCAGGTGCCTCTGTTCTAAAACAATTTTTAAGACTCCATATATTATACTGGACCCTCTACTACCTGAATGTTAGGACCTGGATCCTGGGAATGCTAGCAAGCACACACCACTGGGGAAAGATTTGAAGAAATGTTTAGCTATTTTGAGGTAGAGGCTCCATACTTCAGAATATATAATAAAACTGTGTGTTCCAGATATTGTCAGCGTGCCATCTAGAGTGGCACTTGTGAATCATAGGAGCAGCTCTTTAATGAGATACTATCAGCAATCAGTTCATTCAACTTAGTTTTTACTGATTATTTTCAAAGCCATCTAAGCAAATGCATATGAAATTGTGTCATATTTTTGCACTTTACCAGGTTTCTCATCATTTCCTGTATATAAGTGAAGAAATTCAGGTTTTCCTTAACAACAACTTTGTGTGCAGCTACCTCTTTTCCAGATGTTCTTTGTAGATATACTGTTTAGGTAGACACTTCCTCAGGGTTTGTTGCCTGAGGCTGGGAAGAAACTGGCCACCTTGTCTAACTCATTGTGCATGTTCAGCTGTCTTCTAGCTTTGAGATCAGGAGTCATCAGCTGAGAGTCAAGGGGAAGGGATGGGAATTTTGCGATTTCCTCTTGACTTGGACAAATGTGCCTATAGCATTAATAGAAATATTTATAAGAGGGAAAAGACAGGTCTGAATACAAGAACAAAGCCAAGGTTCTTTATTTGTATATGAAAAGAATCAGGGGAGGAAGTTGGTTCAGGGAATGGAAAAATTGCTATCATTTTAGTATCAACTAAGTGAAAAAGTTTCTAAACTTCCAGGGAAGGAGAGGGAACGGAGTCTGAATTCTTCTTTACTATGAGGTGTGACACAGAAGCAAGCAAAAAAAAAGGGAGAATTGTATAAATGACATGGGTTTTGATGTTAGGCAAATCTGGATTGAATTCTGACGTAAGACCAAAGAAACTGAGTGACTTCCACCTAGTCACAAAACTTTGTTTCTATTCAGTATCACTGAGATAGTAATAATTGTGAGGATTAAATGAAGTAATGTTTTTAAAGGACTTGGAGCTTAGTAAACCCTTAAATATAATTTATTTTTTTATTTAGAAACTTCTATCCTCATGGATTACCTGACTCCCAGGTTCAGTGTCTGGTGCCACAGGGGATTAGGAGGTGATAAGGACACCCACTGGAGGGATTTTCCATTTATCCTGCCACGGATTGTGATAGATTTAGCTACCGATGTCGTAAACTAAGAACATCGAGAATGCCATTGGAAGACTACGACATTTTACTTACTGACCTAAATATTTTTACCCCTAAAATTTATAATAGTAGCCATGGTGACATAGTAAAAAGTTCTCATTTAAGTTGTATCTCATGTACTTCAGATAGGGAAGATACTGGGTTTCAGAAATTAGTCAAAACAAATCCAGAAAAACAAAGTTATATGTAATAAACTTAAGCTGAATTCCTTTGAAGGCTTATAGGAGTAAAAACAAAAATGATTTATCTGCGGAAGTTTTAGTTTTTCAATGTGGTGCATAGCGATGACCAGTTAGCATCTTTGGAATGTCAAGCACAGAGTAGATGATCGGTAGTTATTTGCCTGAGAGATTGAGACTGAGGTTGGGATATTCAACCTACACAAGCCAGCCTTCTTTATTCCCTTCCATAATTGCAGATGTCACCCCTTAATTCCAGCCTGTGATTTTACAGAGGTACTATTAGTTTCAAGAAAAGCCCAGACAATTATTATATCATCTGATAGAATCCAGATATGTTTTTTTGCCATAAATCAATAGCATTATTTTTTATAAAGAGTAACACATTATTATAACTAAAATTAAACTCTGGTGAGGCCTTAAGATCAAATCACTTATCCATGGATAAATGTAAATACATTATCTAGGTGATGGTCATCCATTTCTTG